AACCCACCAAGGAAAAGGTTTGCCCTTGCAAAAGTTTTGTAATTATAATTTGGTGTGCACTGCTCCTCAATATTAAAAAATGCAGTCTCACTTAACCTTTTAAGCTACATAATTGTAGGAAACAGAGAGAGAAAAATTCATTAGTTCAGTCCTCAGTCAAGGTCAGCTCTCTGTGAAAACACCCATTTTCAGCCCACATATGGGGTAAGTGTACTCAATAGGGCTTATGCACCCTACAGAGCTGGAGCCTTAGGCAGTTAATACAACTTGGCACTTAGAGCCTAAAATCTTATCACACATGAAGATGGAAGCCTACATGGTATTTTCAGGGTGAATTCAGGGCTCCTGCTACTGCATCATTTCAGAAAACATTCCAGGCACGGGTCACAACACAGCGATACACAAATCCAACTCTTCTCTCATTTTAGCGCTTACTGTTTTAAAGGTATGGTAAACAAAGCAATAAGCAGTGTATAATTCTTTTAAGTCAACTTCAAACACCACATGCATATGCTTTATATTAAGTCAGCCTAGGAAAACTTTTTTTTCCCCCTAAGTTTTTAATGTATTCTGAGACAGAAAGATTTTAGAAATGTTCATATGGTATATGGAATAGAACTGGTGATCCTTGTAAATGGCAAGTCACTACATTTTTTAGCAGGATTTAACAATTGCCCAAATATTCTGGTTTTATTAAATGCAAATACTGTAGACCTGGGTAAATGCATCTAAAATATATGAAGACTCAATTTCTATTAAGACCAGATTTTATATGCCTCTATGCTGGTGTATATATACTTATGATTTCATACATTCAAGTGGGCTTCCAAATAATTTCAGGCAACTTCAGAGCCAAGACATTATCAAGTAATCAGTTTTCATTTTCCAGTGGTCTGAGTTAGGTTTCCTAAACCTAGGAATTTTGGGCAGTAATCTCATAAAATATCTTATGAATATATTATCTCATCGTACAAGTAAGATTATGCTTTTCTCTCCTTACTTGTATCCTCTCTAACTTATTCTTTACCAGCAGGCAGAACACCATCAGAGGTTTTTGCAGGCAATGAAGGTAATGACCAGGTCTTTCAGACCATCCTTTTAAGGTTCCTCATATTTGCTGGAATATAGGAACAGTAGGCTCTGAAAGGCAAATCATTGCTGGATCACAACACTCTGATGGGCCTGACAGAGAAAGCAATAGTAGACCAGATGCAATAAGGTCTCTGTAGCCTCAAAAAGGCTGACAACTGCTATCACATGGAAAAATCACATTTGCTGTGCTGGCACCTTTATGGGCTCTTCACTGCATATGAGAGTTCAAAAAACAACCAGTTTTTAAAGGTACACAGATTACCAAGCAATTTATTCCTTTTTGGTAAATTAGGGAGTCGCACAGAAACCCTGGATAAAGAGGTACTTTTCAGTGTGACAGGAAAGACTGTCACATTCCTTCTTAACACTGATCTCTCACTGACTTTTGTAAAGAGCACAACTAATCAACAAACCTCAAAGAACAGTTTCCAGTACTCTAAAGCATAATGAAATTGTAACCATGTTCTGAAATATGTCATGAAGCTGAAAACCTTTGAGGGCCTGCACTGTACAATGTTTTTCTTTAAAAATATACATTTGTATAGACACAACCTACACTTGCTTCTCAACTATTCCAGACAAAGAGAATAGGTCCAAAAATAAACTTTTCTTTAAAACCCCTAGGATATTTAAAAATCTACATAGTTTATAAACTATGCATAAACTATGTATATATTTATAATGAAAGGTGCCATATGTGCGTTCACAGTATCCCCTCTTCATTACACAGAACACCTTCTTGTGTATGCTATTAAAATTCAATATATACTTATATACTTCTTTTTTTCCCTATCCAATTCATCTCCCTTAGAACAGAGGTAACACAATAAAAAAATGGTATTTGCTGGAATCACTTTCTGACTGAAATTATTTGTCCATTTCTGGATAACTGAGCACTAGAATCACAGTTTTGAACTACAAAAACAGGTGCAAAAATGGTTAAGTCTAGGCTGTAATTTCACCTATTATTTCCTGCACATAAAAAGGCAAGCAACAATTAAAAGGAAGTAATAGAAATTAAGCTTTGAATATTAAAACAAATAGGCCAACTGGTTTTCCTTCAGGCATATAAGTTCAAGGCAGTGGAAGAAATTAACTGGGGGAAGACTAAAACATAAAAGTTAATCATATGGTAAGTAGAAAAAAATGCTTAATTGAACTTGCCACTCATCCTGCTTCCTTCCATCCTGTATAATACAAATGTACAAAAATGATTTAAAGACCAATACCACGTTTAGTACATTGTTGTTCATTTAGCTATTGTTATAAAAATGATGGCTTGTTCCTTTTCACCCCTCATTCTTCAGGAATTGGTTAATATGCCAAGAAACCACAGGAACAGCAATTACAGTTACAACTGGTAAGTCAAAGGGATCTTTAAAATAAAAAATAAAGGGTATGCAAAAATTACAATGTATGTGCTCTAACTTACAGAAAAATGCAATAAAATATTTTTGGTGTTATACTAATTCTGGCAATTGCAGAACAGTCACATTCCTCTGCTCGTGTGCATCATACAGAATAAAGAACTGCAAAGGATCATAGCACAGAATGGGTTGCACCAGAGCTGCTCCCATGCAAATAGTTTCCCTGTTTTACCAGTGCAGGGATAAAGAAAGAGAAGGGGAAGTAAATAAATAAATAAATGGCACTCTCAGATCACACATTTTCCCTAAAGAAAAACATGATGCAACAGACACACGTGATCAAAACACCATATTTCCAAAACATAGCAGAATGATAACCACAGTTTGAAGAGCATTCCATTGACTTTGGGAGGAGCTGGAAAATCTAAACCTATTCAGTTAAACCAGTTTCGTTCTGTAATATTCACCATCCTCTAGAAAAGAGTGTTACACAGTTTAAAACCCAAATGCACCTTAAAGACCACACTAATCACTGGCCACTCCATAGACTGTGGTAATTAAGCTAATCAAGATCTTCCCCCCGAGTTTTGGAATCAGCTCCTTACTTAGCTGCTACATTGTCAACAGCTGGCATGAATTACCGGGAACATTTGGCTAACTCGATAATAAGGAGGACAGCCTGTGGTTGCTCCAAATTCTACTTCACTGATCTGTTTCAATATATATTAAAAAAAAAAAATAAAAAAAATCTCATTTGAGCGTCCTTTTCTCTTTTTTTAAAGGAGTAACAACTCTACAAATATTGGGGTTTTAATTCTTTTCCCTTGTTATGCACAAACAGTGTAATTGTGTAAGTCTCAGCTGTTTCATGGGCCAGTGTAACCAAAGCCCCAATTCCTCATAATTTAATAATGCTTTTTTGCAACACTGATTCATGCTCATCCCTATCACATCTCAGCTGCTGTGGCAAAGGCTTGCTACTCTGAATATATTTTTTCTACTTACTAGCAATTCATAAGCACAGATCACAGTAACAAAACACCGAAACTCTGTTCCCATCTATCTCACTGAAGAGAAAATATTCCTGAGACCAAGCTTTCCCCAAGCCACAGCTTTATTACAAGGTAAAGTTAAATTATATTATTATAGACCCATGCAACCAAATGCCACCCAGTGTGACTTTATTACTTTATTTGCTTTGTGCCCATGCATTTATCAAATTTTCTCCAGCAAATCCACATAAAAACCCAGTTCTAGTGGTGCCACATGCTCAAAAGCGGTTTTGTGCATGGATTTCTAGTGGGTCCAGCTTCCAAACGTATCTTTAGCACAGGAAGCTGTAGGGAGTGGGTACATTTACTAGGTGGCCCTTCTTTTCATTTCAGTACGAAACAGAGAATCTAAAAGAACCGTCTAGATTACAGTCCCTAGAGAACTGCTCAAAGCAAGAACAAGTCTGAGATAAAGCAATTACTGTATTATTGTCAAGCATTAACAAAATCCCCAAGTATTCAAGGTAAATTCTGCATGCATGTTACACTGTCAGGGCACTCAGATACAACTGTCCTTGAAAAACACTGGATTATCCACTGCTTTTCCTTCCAAAAACAAACATTTAAAGTGCTAGCATTTTTCTCCTCTTTGATAAAACAGTACTGTAACTTTTGAGGTAGCAGAGGATTAGTCCAATGTAATATCACGGCTAAATCTGAAACCAAACAAAAAAGCTAAACCAATTTTATTATTATTTTTTTTTTAATCTTTGTTGAGCCAGTTCTCAGACACCTCATGAATTCTAACAAGCATTGTGCTAGCATCAACATCTGGTAGCTTAGTGGGATGGTAACTCACACTTTTGCTGTAAGCTACCAGATGTTGCTGAAGGGCTTTTTAATTTAGATGGGCTGGTTCCATAAATTAATGTAATGTATTTCAGTAATTCTCATTTGTATTATGTTGTACTTGACTGAGATAACGAGGAACACAGAGCAGTATTAGAATTCCCACATCATCACTGTTACAGTGAGGACCATGACTTGTGCATCACTCTTTCACAGAGAAAGCAATCTAAGAGAAGGTCAAGCCAGCAGGATAAATGTGGCTACTTCCTGGATTTCAATCATGCCAGTCATAAGTAAATCACCTTTTGAGAGGTAGTTAATCCTTGCTGTAGAGACTAGAATTTATTACCACACAATTGTGGCAAGTAAAAATTATAAACAGCTTTTAGATTCTTCCAGTCTTTTATACCCACACACTGCTATAGTGATTTCCAGCAGAATTTGCACATAATAATGTATATTGTTGGGGGAACAGGAGAGAACAGGAGAGAAAAGAAGAATGCATACTTTTCAAAGTACATTTTCAAAGTAATGTGCTTTATAACTTTAAAAAACTCAGAAAAAAAACACTTAATCGGTAGCTTTTTCAAAAAATAAGCTCTTATTTAGAAGAGCTGGTGACTGAAAAGAAATTCTACATAATAATAATTAGTACTTTAAGACTCAGAAATTTCTCTCTGATCCACACAGACACTGACTCTCAGGGCTTACTCAGCAGAGGAACACAATGACCAACTTTGGTGCTTTGGGAATCACTGACAACAAACACCCAATTACAGGGCTGAAAACTGCCATTATGCTCCTTAAAAATAAGACAATGAAAGAGAAAAATGGATACAAAACCAGTTTTGCTAAGACAGTTCACAACTGCTCACAAGAAAAAGTGGGTACCAGTGGCACATGAGAAAAGACTCACATGAGAGAACCTGAACGCCTCTCCAGTTTCCTATCCTATCTATAATGGGCAACCCTGACCTCAACGAGGTCCAACTGGTAACAGGGAAACAAGAGGAAAACTGTCAGCAATGTTTTGTGAGGAAACATAATGGAGGATTTCTGTAGAAGATCCTGACAACAGTCTAAAGGAAAAGCAAGAAGGCAGCATCTTAAGCAAAGGATGAAGGCGGTTTGTGTTCTTTGAAGGAGATAAAATGAGACAAAAGCAGGAAATGCTGTCCTTCCCTTATCCTGAGGACTTGCTGAAAGGTCAAGTATAGCCATCAATCAAGATAAGGAAGAGGCAACCAAAGAAATGACCTTCTCTGAGGGGAAACAAGCATGTATCAGATAGCACTTTTACTCTGATGCAGTTCTCTATGTGAGAGAAAAGAGAACACAGTTTCATGCCAGTGTTAATGAAAAAACAAAAGTGAAAATTAAGCACTTCAGATGGACAAAAGACAAGCAAAAGCCTCTTAAGTCAAAGGCTAGCAGCCAAGGAAAAGCTTGCTTCCAAAATTTGTGAGGAGTGCAGCAGAATTCTACTCCTCACCACTCCTACGCTGGGCACCTGGCTTAGGAGACATCTCCTGGGGGCAGCTACTTCCACTAGCTTGTTCCTGATAAGCTGCAGGCTCATTACATGCACTTTAAATTTCTGGTTTAAAGCTTGTTGCTTTTTTGAAAGAGAATAATCCATTTTTAGTTATGCTTGACCTCACACTTTCAAAATTAATTTACAGTATTCCCCTGTGAGTTATGCTTCTGCTGTCACTTTTGGGGATGAAAAATCAGATTGTGTGGAATTGCATCTACAGTAGATAAAAATCAAAAACCCCTCAAAATCAAATGTAAGCATAAATACTTCTTGGAAACAAACCTTTTGCTGGCATTTCTCAGCTGATATCTTTCCCATTTCTTGGGCTAGTTTTTAACCATGGAATTGTTTCAAAATCACTCTGGGAAAGAATAACAAGTTTACCAGCTCTCGAGGTAGAAAGGCCTCCTCCTGACGAGCCACAATCAGACAGACAGTCTCGCCTTGCTTTGTGCTCCTCAGCATAGCTACAAGCTCTTCCTGGGTCCTGCCGGTGATGTCCCGTCCATTCACCTACCGGCCGCAAAAGAACAGAGGATATCTTATCTCTGACTGCCTTCAAGCAGGTCTAGTAGGTTCCCCTCACCTAACACAGGTGTCATTCAGTAACTGAGAGCAAAAAAGAATCAGCAACAGCTCCCATACTGTCTCCCCTCTGGCCCTACACAAATTACTTAACCTTTCTCCTCCTCATTTTCACCATCTGTTAAACCAGCTCTGTAGTACTTACCCACCTTGCAGGGGGTTTGTGAGGCTTAATTAGTTTGTAAAGCACTTTGAAGATGAAAGTGCAGAAACAAGACCTTAGTATTAAAACTGTTTACCTTAGGAACTTTTTGAGGTTAGTAATTAGAAATAACCCATTAGATAATAAGATTGTAAGTCACAAGATACCTGAAAACTTTCAACAGACCGATTAAAGAAAGATTGTCTTAAAATAAGCACTTTACCAGCTTGATATTAACTGGAGATTTTTGGATGCGGCTGAAGAGGCAAGACATGTTTTGGTCCTAAAGTGATACATTTATCTACTTTAAAAACCAAGATCTTATCAGGTTCTCTTTGTTCAAACATCCCATGGACCCTTGCAAAAAGAACCATTTTTCCACCTCATAGTGTAAAATACTTGTTGACAAACAAATGGCATAGAAGCTGTGAGAGTGACTTTTTTTTAAACCAAGGGCAAGAATTGTTGTTCTATACATCAATAATGTGCATGAAGAAATAAAAGATTTATGACAAATATGACATATTTATGACAGCGATCAATTTTAAACAATGCAAATACAACAGATGTTTATCCTAACCTCCAGGATTCTGTCTCCTGACTGCAAACGACCATCTTTTACTGCTGCACCTTTTGGTAAAATATTCTTCACAAAGATTGGACCAGGACCGTGTAGTGAAGAGTCTCTGGTAACCACCGTGAAACCAAGTCCTTCTGGACCTAGAATGTCAGACAAAGAACACACAAAATAAATTTTGACACGTAAACAATGATCATTAAAAGTAAGCAAGCGATGTCAATAAGATATCCCAGAGACTTGTCCAGGTTAACTCTAAGAAAAGAAAGCAAACAAAAAGCTGTAAACACGAGAAAATTTTCTGCCTGGTCTAGAGAAGAAGTCTACTGATGTCAAAACACATACCCTCCTAAAACAGCTACAAATGGAAATACTTGGATAAGCACACAATAATAAAAAACAAGAAAGAACTCTTTTTTAAAGCATTTACCTTTCCTTTAGGTCATTTTAATAATAGTCTTCACTTTAATGTCAATTGTTTTTCATAGAATCAGAGCAGTTTGAATTGTTTATTTATAAGCATAAATATAATCTAGTTTTACTAACTTAAGTTTTACTGCAGCTTGGTAAATGGGGACAATATCGCATGATTTGAATGCAAAACTTGATGATATGCTGTTCAGGAAGAACAAAGTGGTACTTCTAAGCTTCCATTAGTGAAGTTGTTTGCTGCTTGGAAATAAACAACCTCAAATGTTAACAGATAGGTTATAACAAATAATTAGGGAGTAAAACAAATATTAATAGGTATTGCTCATAAGCCACTAAAATCACTGGGAATAGCAGGGTCCATAAAAATATTTTTATATTGAGCAGTATTACTACTCGTTATAGTTTTCAAAGATATCATCATGTCAGTATCACATTGCTATAATTTCTAAAAATAAAAATGTTTCAAAATCAAAAGCATTAAGAATAGGGAAAATCTTAAGTAGGTTTTATTAACACAAAGCTGAAGAGTTTAGAAGCAAAAATGAGTGATTTAAGTAAAGAAACAACAAAAATTAAGAAATGAGAGCTTGATTACATTCAGTTTATGAAAATAAAGTTATAGACAGCTTTCAAAAGGGCCACTTCTAGGATCAAACTCAGCCAAATCAGAGCCAGAAATCAAATAGAAAATACAAATGCTAATTGTAAATTGGTTAAGAACATTTTACTGCATGTTCCTAAACCCGTTATTCTATTCAAAGACAGACAGCTGCATGGTGCAGCAATTAAAGACATACACACAGATTTGGCCTCCTGACAGTTGAATAAATATGATAGGAAAAAAAAAAAAAAGATTTGCAGAAAATAAAAAGGGAAAGACAGGTAAATCTGTGGTCAAGCTCCTGGAAAACACAAAGTAGAGCAGGGTAGATTTTTAAACATAGCTTTACAAGAATGTCATAACAGTGTTGTGGTAAATTTACAGGTTGAATAAAATCATAAACATCACCAGCAAACAGTTCAAACTTTTATTCTATAGTTGTGAAAAGACTGAACTATCTCTTACAATCACTTGTTGCTAATGGAATTGCTTCCACAGTCAGCAACTGAGACGTCCTAATCTGTAAATCTGAATAACATACATCCAAAATTTATGAGAAAGCCCACTGTAGAAAACATTACTTTCCTGTACCTTTTGAGAGTTTTGGAACTTTTATATGGCAAATAACTAGCTTGTATTTTCAAAGTCACTCATTAAATTAAAAGTTAAGGTATCACTACAGAGAATATGACACTGAATTAATCATACCATCTCCAAAGACTTACCTTTTTTCAGGTCTATCTTTATTTTCTTTGCATTTCTCTTATTGCCAAAGCCCATAAGTGGAGACAGTGAGGGAGAAGAAGGCTTTCTACCCAGACGTGGGAGGTTGGGGCTCTTAGCTTGCTGCAGTGTTCCCTGTACACCTGACTCCAAGCTTGCTCCAGAAATACTAATTGTTTTCACAGCAGGTTTTGGATGAAGAGGAGGTGGAATTTTTGTTTTTGTAACTCCTTCTTCATTATTCAGAATACAAAGAGGAGCAATAGCAGACTTCTCATACTGTTCTCGGTTATATGGAGGAAGGACTTCCAAGATGACACTTTGAAATTTCATTGCCTGACGGAAGATGTCCTGAGACCTTTAAAAGAAAGGTATGAAAATTCATATGACAAACTAGAAAACTTGAGCAAAATTTGATGTTTACAAAGAATAAGATGAAAATTTATGTTGTGTTCACATCTACAGCATTACTTTTTTAGAAAAGTTAACATGAAGTAAGATTTCAAAACTACAGCATTTCCTTACACTTCAAGTAGGAGCAGCATATATGTCAGAATTCCTAAGGCGGTACAAAAACATATCAGCTAGAATAAACTAATGAACACATTTCTTCATGAAGAGCAGAAAGGGAATTTCTGATGGCAAAAGCTCATCAAAAGACTGCTGAAATTACAGCTTGCTGTTTTTTTCAAGTGCTTGTCTGTTACATATTTTCTTGTTGGCATAGAGGCACACTGAGCACTCATCACCAATTGTTCTGGTGAATACATCTACTCCAAGCAAGCTCAACTCTATTTTTCCCAAATCCAGTCTAATTGCTTCTCAGATTCCTTTTTAATCCCTTCTGCAACTTTGGCTGATTCCACAGGAATAAAATAGGTTGAGAGTATGGGATACATAGACATTAGAAAAAAAACTTTGTTTCTAAAAGAGTTTTTAAAAAAGTGATCAAAACAGCACAATTATTTGTTTTTCTACATAAATGGTTAAATAAATAGGTCAATATTACATCTTTCAAGGAGTAACCTTTTGCTAAGTGGGTATTCACACTTCACATAATCAATGTTTTTACAGATGTGCCCAAATGCAACACCAGAAACTGTGTTAGAGCATTTAATGGAACTACTCCCCTTAATACTGACAGGGCAGCGGAGATGAGTTTTAAGCTAAAAGAGAAAGATTTAGCCCAGACATTAAGAAGAAATTCTTTACTCAGAGGGTAGTGAGGTACTCGAACAAGTTACTCAAAGAAGCAGTGGATGCCCCATCCTTGGAAATGCTGAAGGCCAGGCTGGATGGGGCCCTGAAAAAACCTGATCTAGTGGGTGACATCCCTGTCCATGCTTGAGGGGCTGGAACCCACACATGAGATGATCTTTAAGGTCCCTTCCAATCCAGACTGTTCTGTGATTCTGTGAACTGATACCATGGTAGTGATGCTGTGCTCAGATACCTGTGTGTCGTAAGGCAATTAAGACAAGTTGGCCAAAAGAGCTGATCATAAAGCCTTCCCTGGATTTTGAATAACCTGTAGATTTGGTATATGAAGTCATGTTACAAACCTTGGATTCTAAAAGAACAAAGGAGACTTCCTTCTATCTATGCTTTCCTCTCCTATCTTCTCTTGAAGTGGACTGACTTTCTTCCATACTGCAGAAGACAAGTCCAGTACAATGCTGAAGCGCATTTTGAGAATGAAAAACTGAAAACTTCTGTTTAGCTGAATTGGGGCAAGAGGGGAAGGAATGGCTACATGAAATTTTAAATAAATCATGGAGTCTTCCTAAGAACATTGTACTTATCTCCTACCCTTCAGTGGTGTGTTTGTCAGTCTGAGTCAGTATTTTGCTGAAGTCTTGGCTTTGGATTTACACTCAGTAATAGGAATCAATGTTGAAAGTATTTATGAAATTTTTATTTTTATTTTTTTTTAGTTTTTTTTTATATTGACACAGGAAGGAAGCCACTGCACACATAAATGTCTTGAAAACACACCTACTGCTTTCCTAGATGAGCAGAGCTATATAGATACACTCTATACCTAGAGTATATCCACCTTGCAGCTGTAGGTGGTGAAAAGGAGAGGCTGTTTTAAGAGGGTTTTCTGTAGCACAAAGACGTTAAAGTCAGGAGTCAGTCCCAATGGATACTGCTGTGGGAAAGAACCGTCCTTGCCATACTGAGTGTACAAGCATCAAGAGTCAGAACAGCAACATTCATTGACAGGCGATGCTGCCAGAGAGAAACCTCAAACTTGGAAAATAGAGGGAGCAGAATGTTGTAGGAAAGCATTCTTTTATCATTACCCTCAAGGGATCTGTTTCAGAGCTGTAACAGACTGTGCCCCAGTGCATCTGCAGAGGTTACAGGTTATCTGTTCACCTACAGCCTGTCAAAGCTCTCAAGGACAGACCTTACCCTGATATTAGAAACCATGGCACACTTCCAGCATAAAGGATGTAAAATTTTAACTGTGTTTCTTTCACACCCCATCTTCATCTTTGCAAGTAGCCACTTAGTCATATGTTACAAGGTAATTTAATAACTCAGTTTCGAAAGATTAATATTTAAAATATATGCAAGAGAAAACATAAGATCTCCTTCAAACAAAAATTAGTGGAAATCACTCAAGACATCCTATGGGAAAGTCTAAATGCAGTCTTCAGGGGCAAAATAACTGGCTGCACTTCAAAGGGAAAAAATAATGAATGGAGAAATTTGTATTTCTTGAGACCCCAAGTGCATACTTTAAAGAAATAAGGGAGTCAGTTAAAAGAGGTGCTAGAAACTCTGCAGCACAACAGAATGTAATTGAATAGATTAGCAGCAAATGAAAAAGCAGACCAACAGTCCCAATATATAGCTATTATAAACATGGGAATACAGAAAGTAGGCTGCTGCTGTTACAGCTGCAGAAGAAGCAATTGTCAGGAGCAGTACTAGAAAGTCTCTGCTGAAATTAGAAAGAGACAGCATGTAACAGTCTAAGTGTTAAAACAGCTTTTACTTATGGGTTATGAAGAAATGTCAATTTGAAACTAGCCAACAGATTTTCCTCTTGGAGGAAAATCTGATTGCTATTTCTGGGTCAAGAGTCATTGGAACAATACTTTGTTGTATCTTTTACAATTACTGGATTTCTGTAACTTGGACTTCTGTCAGGTTAGTACAGTTACGTCATGCCAGACAAAAACTAAAATACATATTTACAGAGATTAATTTCAACCTGGAAAGAGTCAGTCTTTAGCCATTCTCCACAGCCAGGGAAGAGAGATGATGCAGAAGGCTATTTTGGAAAATAACCAAATTCAGCAGAACAATGTAAGACTTGGGAATAGGCTAGAGCTCATCCAAAACATTCCCCGCCAGTCCCCAAATAGACATTGAGCTCACAATTCCTGCATTTTTTCTCCTCAGATCCAACACCACTGCAATCATACTACTTGACTTAGCAGCATAAGGAAACTTTGCTCAACAAAATTAGGCTCTGCTCTGAATCACCTTTAAGTCACTTTTCTCTCACCCAGTGACAGTGTCTAACAAGACCGATCTCTCTATGCTAACTCTTGTAAATAATCCTTCCAACCCCAAAACTTCACAAAAGCTTTTAGAAAGTATCCTGCATGTTGTATTTTGAAGGAAAGCCTGACAGAGAACTAGGAAATTTCCTGAAGTATTTCAGATCACCCCAAAATCTAGTAACCTTACAGAAAAACATGCAGAGTCCTCCAATCCACAAACACCTCATGGGCTGAAATCTTTGGAGATCTAGTTACATTCAGAAGAAAACAGAATTCAAAAAAACAATACACAGAAAAAAAACATTCAGAGGAGACAACACATTGTAAAGAAAGGATCAGATATGATTTTGAAAAGAGGTTTGGACTCAAGCGAAACCTGATTTGCGAAATTTCATTACAAAACTGCACAGTGGGGCAATGAATGTTTTAATAAGATACTGACAATTACGTTCTGCTAAATTTGATATCATATTTAGGAATTTCCATGGAAGGAACAATGACATGTACTATAACACAGTAGAATGCAGAAAGCTGTAACTGAAAAGCTTTCAGGAGGGGAAAAAGCACAGTCTGAGAAACAAGAATATGCTACAGAACTACACTGGTTTAATGAAAACCTATTCTGCAAATATTTATTCCTAACTGTGAAATTATGTATTTGATTTTAGTCTAGAAGCCGTGAAAATTTGGCTTACTGTTTAGAAAGTTAAGCCTCGACTCCCTTGACATCTCAATAGGTTTCTGTTATATTATAAACAATCACTCAGTTGTCTAAACATACGGATTAAAAGCAAAAACAAATTACAATTTAATTACTACAGCAAATATATGTGAAATTTGAGAGGCTATTCTTTTGTGAAACAATGCCACTTTAATTCATAGATGATCAAAACAACTTGTTAGTTAAATATTGAGATAGATAACAAATGTCAACAGACTTTTAATAAAAGTCATAAGAAGTGAGACTTTGCATTTAGCTCAAGTAATCATAGTTTGACAGTAGAAGTATTTTTTTTAAAAAATAAACGCTCAAAAAGCTGCAGCAGAACAAAAAATCTTATTTCATTTGCAAAAGAAAATTAAACACCATGCTGTGAGATTGACTCATTCTGAAAGTCTTATTAAGGAAAAATTACAAAGAGGTAAAAGTAATGGAAGAACTAGAAAGGGAAGGTAACAATTATAAAACTTAATGCTATTAAATTAAGTAAGCACAGTAAGTTCACTGAAAGTCCTCAAATTTCATTTATTTGGAGGTTTCAGAAAGAAAACCACAAAGTTTCTGTCACGTATCAATTTTACAGGCATTTTTTTTGAAATAAGTATTAATCCCTTTACAAATCACTTAAACAGGGCACTGTATAAAATCCTGGCTGATTAAAAGTATTAGTAAACCAGCACTTACTGTGCAAAGGTTTTATCTGTAAGGTCCACGTGGTTTATCTTCACAATGCATTCATTTTCATGGAAAAGACCATCACGCCTAGATCTGCTGTTTTCTTCAATACCACGGATGAAGAGTCCCAGCATCCTAAAAGGCAAAACATAGGTGAAAAATATCCTTATTGTGCTGAATTTATAGCAACTAAAAATAGATATTAATCTCTACTGTGTATGAAATCAGAGTACACTGCCTCTCTATATATGAAGTGCTTCACCTAGAGAAAGATTTCAGCTGACTTACTAATGAAAAAGGAGGGGATTCCAAAAAATACCACAAAAAATTGCTGTACACTAATGCTTTACTACTTGCTAGAACTTGGGAAGCATTAAGTCCTGTAGGTTATACTTGGAGAAACAGAAGAAAACACCTAGATCCCTCTCCAGTTAAAAATGGTAGTGTAGCTTACACATATTTTTTTCTGCCACTGCTCCAAAGAAAAGCACAAACAGATTAAAAGTAACTTTCTACCTTGACTGTAATAAAATAAACAGGAGTCAGAATGAGACAAAAAAAATAACTGACTTTTCTACTTCTGAAAACATCCCTGAAACTTTTCAGTTTCCAAGCCCCTTGCTTTGATACAAGACAGCAATACTACTCATCCATGTGGCAGGACAGCAGTGCTACATCATCACCCCAGCTGTCTGTTAATGAAATATGTGCAAGTGAAAACAGAAGTGCAACACAGAATAATGCAGTAAGTGAGCCAGTGTAGGTGGTGCAAAATGCCAGTGTTGATAACTCTGTTGGGAGCACTAGGCTAATCCTGACCTACCTGGAACACCTCTGTATTGCAAACAATAATTCAACATAGCTATATCAAAAGATACCACTACAGTGTCCAAAAAATCCTGACAACTGTGTGTTTGTGGAGAACTTTTATAATCAAACTTTGTCCACTAAATTTCCATACCACTTCAGCATCAAAGATGGTCATCAAAGATGACCTTTAGAGACCATTTCTACTGGTTATACTACATAAAATATTAATGTGCAATTTTCAATGTGCCTGCACTCCAATCACAAAACAAGAAGTCCTGTATTTTTGCCTCATATTCATGACTGCCCCTCCTAAGTCCATTCAACAGATTCACAGTATGCTATTAAGTATTTCAAGTGACACTATATTGACTGAGCATCTGATTTTAGATTTACTAACAACATTAAAAAAATTGTTCTTCTGTCCTATCAATTACTGAATGAAAAATTGGTTTCTACTGAGTATCAGTTCTTTGAAGTATTTAAAAATATATTTTAAAAGTTATTTAATAGCACAAAGACTCTCTTGTAATGAGTGTTATCCTTCCCTAAAGGATTAAAAAGGGCAGTGGTGGTGAGGGTCTACAGCCCCTTTGATGACATCGAACTAGCGGCAATCAAAAACCTTCCCTAAGAACTAATACAACTATGTTAAAATACAAACCAGTAAAAGTAAAGAAATAAATGAAATTACAAATTAAGATGGTTGCTCACTAATCCTGTGTGCTTAGATACTGCACTAATATAACACAATAGGATTGCCTACTTGTCTGAAACTTGTGTGTCCTGTACTGCCTACCTACCGTGGCTCAAATTACACAGACCGAGGCAGCTTGAATTCATTCCTCCATTACTTTTTTTCCACAGCCTAAATTTTAGCATTTTAATGTGCTATTAAATTTTAATTTCCGGGTTTTAATGATATTTAAGTGTAAAATAAAGGGGAGAAATTATTTCTATTACTTTTGTAGTTCCTGTATAAACTAAGATTTTGTAAATTAATATGATGTTTTAATGACTTGTAGAAAAACTTTGGCCTGTAGCAGCACCAGGCTAAAGTCAGCATTACCTTATTAGAAGATAACTTTACAATTGAAATACCAGACCCAGTTAGTCATGGCCAGCACATCCTCATAAATTCTATCATGTCACCAAAAGAAATAAAAGATGGTCTTCTGTACTTTCTCATGTTATGATGAGTTACCATTCATAATGTAGTCTCAGGCTAGATTAAAAAAAGACAGTCAAGCCATTTAAATGAGTCCAGTGCTTTAACAAATGTTTCAGAACACATCTGCCATAGGTCACTAAACTGTAAAGACAGCTGCCTAAACAACCAGTAGTTCCATCAGCCAAAGACCTCTCTACTCCAGCAGATCCCCAAAAGCATTTATTAGTAAGGACATATTAACATGAATACTACGTAGACCTAGGAACCCTTCTTCTTACAAGTCTTTAAAAGCTGTATTCAACACAGAGATACTTGAGTACAAAACTACATTTCAGTCACAACAATTACTGATTTTAATAGTTTGCAGTTTCATCAAAATTGTTTTACTGAAGGATCTTAAAATACAGTGTACAAACAACAACCTTTATGGCACGCCTATATCAAAGAGGTCTGATCTGCCTGTCAGAGTGGGTAAGAAACACAAGTGGCTTTCTCAAGACAAACAGGCAGCCCACAAAGCCAAGGACACAACTCAGATCTCCAGCAGTTGCCATTCAAGACCAGCTTTCTTCTTGAGACAGTGATGCCATTTTTACAGGCAGCAGATGGACATCTATTTTCCCTTTTGCTAGATAAAACAATCTGAATTAGATTGGGTCCACTTACAAATTCAGATCTATCCAAGAAAACAGACCTTTACAAGGTAATTCAATCCTTCACATTCTCTGTCCTACATGAAAGCTGACAAGTAAAGAAACATTTAAGAATTAGACAATTTTTACTTTTGCAATAATTGGCTTTGTGTAACAGGCAACCATTTTACTATAGTGTCATTTATGGCTCTGGCAATTTCACATCTCTTATTCACGGCTGCCAGTGTCAAATTACCTCTCTGGCTAAGCCTCTGTATGTCAAATTTCAGCCTAGATTTTTATTTTTTTTTAACACATCCAAGTTACATAGCTTGGAAAACAGCTATAATGAAAATGCTGACGCAGTCTTAACTACAGCACATCAATATGAGCACGCTGCTATAACAGGCTTTTGTGATCTCAATGGACTTTGTTAAATCATTTATAATTAAAGTAATTGTATTGTGACAAAGAAAGGTTCATGGTATAGAGCACATTTTATAAATGCTATGCAATCAAATCTGAAAGATGGCTTGAAAAATATGAGATATGTGTAGGCAAGCAATTCTTTTTGACTCTTCTTGTCTGGTATGTCACTAAGAAAGAGCCTATGCAGAGATATTCAATTAAGAAAAACAAAACAAGAAACATACAAACAAGCCCACAACAGCACAACACAACCAACCCAATGCCACACAAAACTACTAAGTCCAGTTTACCATTCAGAGAATAAAAACAGAGACCACAAAAAGGGCACATATGAACAAAGCTGCTGGTATTGACTGAAAGTGACTGGACATGACACTTCTTACCATGGTCTAGTTGACAAGATGGAGATCAGTCAAAGGCTGTACTCAAGTATCTCTGAGGTCTTTTCCTACCTGATTCTGTGGTTGCCTTATACAGAACTTGGACTAGTAAATATTTTGGTAATGGAAGACAGTGCCATAGACTAATTTTTGTTTTCCTTTTGGTAAATAGTAGGTATTTTAAGATAAGCACAACTGAAATACTTTCATTTATATATTTCTTGAGCAATGCAGAAAATATCTTACCTTCCACTCAAGGATGAAAAAAAGGGCACTACATGAATTCCCAAGGGTCCACCTTCCCCAGAAATCTCCACTGTTTTTGTCATTTCACTAAAAAAGAGCACAGGGAAACATATCTTGTAAACTTATTCAGAGAGTTCTCCATATTAAAAAAAAAATTCTGATTGACCAGATAGCAGAAAGGGTAGAAAAAATATTTGACTCAGAGCTCAGTAATATATGAAAATAAAATGAAAAGTAAAACAGCCATGAAATCCTTTCATTGTTTTAGATTAGCATTTGTGGTTTTTTAAAAGGGAAATAAATCAAGTACTAGACATTTTCCCAAGTTAACCTTCAAGTAAATCAATTAGAATATTAAAGAATAAGCTTTCAAGTGAGGAGAGACTTCATCATAAAAAAAAAGGTGAGGGGAGGTTATTTTACATCTTCTTAATTTAAACTCCATGTGAGTTGCTTCAATTTTCCATCTGGCCACGTTATAAACATGAAGATCAGACAGAAAGGGCAATGCAACTTTCAAGTCAAATAATACTTAAATATACTGATTTCTTCCCTCAGTTGCATACAACTGAGTTTTCCTCCCTAATTTGCCCTAAACTAGGACACTCTCTGACAAAGAACAAAAGCAATTGTGATCAGTAGTGCAACTCAGCTCATTTTATCAAGAAGTTTCCTTCCTCAAACACCGTTATTAAAAACCTATGCTGGGTGACCGTGACTTGAAAAGGAAGGTACTTGAACTGGCTAGAATCTTAAAAAAAATTAGCAATGTCTGTATTTCAGCAGACCATGTTCCTTCTTTCCATAACAGTGTCCTTCTTCCAAAACCCTCCCTCCCCTCCCGTGGTACTGAACACCCCCAGCACTCGGGATTGGTGGCCAGCAGACATCTCCTGGGCACACCCACTCAGAACACCCTGGCTCTGTGAGCTGGGTGTGCGTGCCAATCCTACCATGTGGACAAAACACGTGAAACTGAACCAATTGGCCACTTCAGATACTGCCCTGAGTTAAAGATTCAGTATTTCTGATCAAGTGCAGACTTCTAGTGAGAAAGACACTTCTGATCTTTCCCTCTGCACCAGACCTAGAGAGCACACATTTGCTGGATATGATGACAAAGCCAACTCTTTCCTCTCATGCTGCCCTCCCACCCTCAGATGATTTTTCCCTAGTACCACAACTTCCTCTGGCACCAGCTGATATTGCTGACCCGTGATCTTATGATCATTTAATTTGATGTAAGAATCAGTACAAATGCACTGAAACCCATCAGAGCTCTGCTATCACCCTTGATGTGGCAGCACAGTTACACCACATTAGGTACAACATGAACCCACATGGCACAGCTAAGTCTTCTCACAGGGAGCACAATTACTGAAAATGACCTTGGGCAAAATCTGGCATTGCTTCCTAATAACACAGGAATATTGTTTTGTAGTTATGAACCTTTATGCAGTTGCACAATGATTAATGAGAAGCAATTTGCTCTTAATACAATAATTCTTAGCCTGATTGGCTAAATATGGAATAAGACTGGAAAATAAGTTTATACATTTTATTTATTTTTTTTTTAATTAGGGGACAGAGTGAGTTTTGGGAAGCTTTTTTTTTTTTGTAAACTGTTCTTCCAAAACCACTGGCACTATAATGAATTTATCTTCTCTAGATATTAAATGGAAAGACCCTGAACAACAAGCCACCACTGATCCCAAATGTAACAGATTTACATGTTACTGTATTTATAACACAGACACCATCAACAGGCATTTGTGGGTTTTTCTTTCCTGCATTCCCCTGCTTCACTAATCAAATGGGGAAATACTGACAAAATCTTCCTGTAAGATGTTTTAAACACATTTTTTTATGGTGAAGCTGGTTAGAAAAGCTAATCAGGGTGGTTACCAAAAACCTCAACAATGCATGCATAGGAAATTAACTCCTCTTTCAGTTCCATCTTCTACTTCCTCCAATTCTCTTAACACACAAAGAAAGATAATTAAAGGGCTACTTTTATTGTCTTTTGAACTTCTACAAAATCAAAACGCATAAGTAAATTAAGCAGCCAAGCCCTTTAGATTCAGAAAATAATCAGAAGTAGTGAATGGGCTTTCATTTTTACAGGGAAAATTTAAGTAACTTATAGCCGTCCTCAAATAACCCTGTGTGCTCTAGGGAGGAGTTGTCTTCCTAAGCAACTGTAAAACAGAACAGGAATTTTTTTGAGAGCTATCACGACAGACAGGTGAGCTGTCATATTAAATCAATGCACTTACAGTTATAAGTAGGCTGAAAGCCAAAGAAAATATACAAACTTATTTTTAAACTGAACATGAAGTCTACACACTAAGAAAAACAGGCTTCTTTGTGAAAACAAATGGCCCACACACACATTATGTATTACTTTAAAAATTTTTGGTACATCCTAAAACTTATGGATGTTCTAGAGCATTCAGAATAAACATTCAGAATAAGTGTACACTGTTTACATGTATTAAAAACTTTGGAATTATAATTTCAATCAAAAATCCATGACTCTAAATAGATTTCTCCTTATCAAACAAATGGGACTCTTAGTTATATCCAAGAAGAAAACAGCCTTTCACACCAACTTTCATGGATCTTTGAGGACACGTTATTTTTATATTATACCTACAAAAGCATGACAGTTAAAAATTTTAAAAACCAGAACATCTGGGATTTGGTTTTGTTATTTTTTTTTAAATTTAAGAACCTCAAAGATTAGAGATTCAGACATATTTGGTATCATTCACTTGTTCTGTCCCTCTTCAGGCAGGTTTAATCTGCCCACAAGGACAGCTGAACTCAGCACTGTACTATTTCACGCTGGCTTACAGTTTATACTGTACTGGAGAAAGTATTCAGGATCAGGGCATGGCTGAGTGAGATCCTAAATAGGATGAGCTCTAAGAATACTAATTACTCAACTCCAAAGGCACATGGGACACACAGGTGCTAGGACTCCTTGGGTTGACACAGCTAGGTTAAAAAAATTAAAGAAAGGAGAAAGCAGAATTACTGTCTGATGCAGGTTGATAGCAGTGACAACAGAGAATGTAATTAACAGATTTTTTGCAATATTCAAAACATTTTAAAAACAAACAAACACCTAAATAGGAAAAAAATTAATTCCAGAAGTTAGTAACCTACTCATGACCTACTGCTCTTTGAAATCTTCCCTACAGATCTTAAATGCCTTTTGTAGTAAAAGAAAACACAAGTCTGGCCCATCAAGTAGTATAAAAGATCTGGATGAACTTGTCCTTGCTGAACCAGTCTCTGTGGAATACATAGAGATACATTCCTGCAGCAGTCAAAAAGACTGAACTTTTTAAAAGTCTTTATGTCAGTGAAATTTCTGCAAAGTGCAAGGTTCACCCCAACCAGAAACACAGCACTCAGGCTCCTTCCAGTACGTGTTGGCACCCCTCTTCCTCTTGCTGCGCTGAAGGTACCTCAGGTCTCACTCATGGGAGACCACCTGTCCAGAATGACCTGATCCAAGATGCTGTACTATTGATTTTTAACCTGAAGAAGCTGTCATCATCTACTATTTAAATTCCTCTTTCTTTGATATTATTGATTTCTGCCAGATTCTTTACCATCTATCACATTTGTTAACAAGGCTTGCCATGCATATTATTAAAAATGCTGGTAAGTACTGTTCAGCAAAGAGATAGAGAAAGTGTACACATGAGTAGTGAGTAGGCACAGCATTGGCAGAGTGGAAAGCAAAATTTAAATGGAGTGCTGCACATTTAGTGGTCATATTTAGTCGTGAACTGATCCGATCCTCAGATTTGCAATGGCCTCACTGTGGAATACTATAGCTCCCTCTCCTGAAACCTCTGTCAGGAGTTAGCAGTTTGTGAGTTACATAAAGGGGAAAGATCTGTTAACTGAAAGCTCCTCTGCAAACTACCCAAGAACACTGAAGGACTGATCCCAACCACTGAGCATGCAGATGCTTAAAAGGGAACCCTCATCAGAAGTAAATGTTTTGTGTTGCTGCAGCTAGACCTGTTGCAAGTTCACTGAGGTGCCTTGACCATCCCCAGCTACAAATGCTTGGTAGGATTGCTCCTGGAGAATGCAGTAGGCACAGCCTAAAGCAGATCAATTGTTTTGCAACACAGTGAAGACAGTAGCTCAGAAAAGCTGTTTACTGCGTGGGTTACTGGGCAAAACTTGTCATCATGTGTATGTCACAAGAACCTATTGCTTGAGTAAACACAAAGTGTTTACCATTCCAATGGCATTTTCCTTTGCAATTTTAGTCATATTCAACACTTTCTCAAGTGTTTTTAAGAAAAGGTACAGATTATTAAGATGCCATATCTGAAAAAAATCTTTTAGTGCAGAATGTCATCTCCCTTGCAAACAGAAAAGCACAGCTGATATTCTGAACATACTATGTGGTGTTTTTATTGACCACAGCCAAGTAAAAGGCAAATTAAATGTCAGTCAGACGTAGAGAGCTCACAGATGCAGTTATTAAGCTGTATCTCCTTGCTTGTTCTTCACTTGCACCTCCAGTTCCAGCCTCTTCCTCCAATGCTGCCATTCCAGCACACAGAGCATCCATTGACAAAAGGTGTTGATGTTTGGTGGAGAGCACGGGCCTACAGGAGATGTCAAATTCCTACAGTGCATTTTAAAGAGGAAAAATGCACACATTTATCCAAATAAAGAGTGTGATATCTCTGCCATGTACTTTTTTTCACATAATAAACCAGTACAGTTACTGATGGTAACAAAGTATTTGTCCCCATTCATCCAGAGAAGGCTACCAGAGAGGTAAGCTAAACTAAACCTGTTTGATTGCTCACCTCCCACCCACCTCCTACCCCTCTTTCACATATTTCCTTCCTTCTTTTCAACTAGGTGCTAAAACCTTTGATGAAAATGTCTTGAAAGCCCTTAAGAAGGAGCTGGAACTCAAGATGTTACGTAGTGTGAACACACTGATCTGATGAAAATTGGAACAATATCTAAATAGGGATAGAGAGCCCTAAAGGGAGAAGAAAAAGCAACTCAGTGTGCTGGCAAGGATAAGTTTTCCAGGTACAGTTAAGGAAACTGGTCACTCTTTTATAAGAGACAAGAATCAGCAGCAGCTGCTCCATTCTACACAACACTAAACAAGCTATCCACAAAGTTCAAATATTTACTATGAAATAATGTCACAATATTCCAGTTTCAGGTTTGAAGAGGAAACAAATCAAAACTAAAATGCATTAATCTAGTTATTACAGACTTCTTTTTCATGCTGAAATTAGTTAGTTCTCACAAGATTAACTCTGAAGTTTTAAAGAGAAATCAGACAGCCTGCAAGCACTGGGGCTTTGTGTCTTTGTTTCTTTAAATCATATTGTTCCAATTCTCTGTTGTTAGACTAATGAAAGACACAGTGGGTTAAATATAGGAAAACACAGAGAAGGAAAAAATGCTTCAGCTACACTTTAATTATGTATCTCTACAGTGCTTAAACCAAGGAACTGACCCTGACCTCTGCTAAAAAGAAGTGAGAAGACAGCAAAAGCGAACATAATGAAAACACGTAATGAATTATCTATGCATAAATTACCCTTTGCGTTCCAACTAATCCACTGCTATTAAGCTAAACATCCATTTCCAAGCAGATTCATGTTTACTGTTCCTTAACACAGCAGTTTCTACTGAGAAAAGCAAGCTTTTCAAAACCAGTACTCCCATGTATGGTGTCCTAAGGAATTCAGTGCTAAAAATTATGACAAATACATACCTGACCATCTATAGAGCATCAAGGCCCTGTTCTTACAATGAAAAGCTTTCAGAACTAATAGAGAACACAAAAAAAGGCACAGAGAAATACAAAATTTTGTACACTGATGAAACCAGCTTGGCTTCCTTTACCCTGGACATCATCTTTACTCACAAATAAACAATAAAAAAAGCCAAGAGGATTGTCATTATTTATTCCATTAAAAACCATTCCAATGACCCAATGTTTTAAGTCTCTCCTATAGTAAAGTTCAACTCTCAAAATGTCAAATTAAAATTTTCAGACTCTCAAGAGATACAGTCCTGAAAAGTTTCCCAGTACCACAATGAAATGTTTTAAGAGAATCCAGGCAAAGGGACTTCCCATTAACTTCCAAGTAGAGGAGCCAAAACCCCTCCATACTGATACTCATTTACTCCATGTGCAACTGATTTTACCTACTTAAACCAGTGAACTGACTTTCTTCAAATCAAAGAGTTTTCCTGTTTGAGTGAGGAATATAAAACAATCCAAGTCTGGATCTTAAAGTTCAACAGACTAGGCTTCTCAATCATGAAATATTAATCATGGTACTCCTTTTCTCTGCTTCCCTCTGAAATACCCATTATTGGCTGCAGTTAGAAAGGGACTCTGACCTCAGACAGGTTGGTGCTCTGATGAGAGGGCTCAGATCATTTTCTCAGGTGCATTATAGGCCTTAAAGCTCACTAAATTCATTGACGGGAAGGAAAGCAGGGAAAGCAGCAGGGCCAGCAGTTTCTCCCATAGTCTTGTCCACAGCATGGGGTAGCTCACAATTAGGCTGAAATACTACCTTTATTAACATCTCTTGATGTGGCAGATTTAAATGAAGGGTTAATTAGCTGGTGGTCCCTTATGGCCCTAATGACTTTAACATTCGACAAGAAAAATACCTGAATAAATGAGAATTATGAGTAAGACCCTTGTTCAGAAAGGAGACAAATTAGATACTAAGATACTTGTTATACTGCTTGTGGAAAAAAAAAAAAGTTTTATTATTTAATATTGTTTTATTAATAAAACCTTCCTTACTTACAGTCAATCAAATAAAGATAATTGAGACAGACAGATGGTCTCTAGTGACTCATTATTTCCCTTTATAAACCTTCTACTCCTAATGAAAACACTTTTGGAAAAACAGTTTAAAAAACTTGACTTACAAGAAAAAACCCAAACAAAAATCAAATCATTGCTATAAAATTTAAATTCTTTGACTGCAATTCCTGTGAATAGCACAGAGCTACAAACTAACTCTGCTTTACAAAATGCCGTGTTCAGAATTTTACTTATGTTCACTGTTTGAAGAAAGTGGAATATTTTACAAATATTCCAATATAATTCACAATTTTGATTAAAATTTCCTCACAGTACCCATCTCAATTCTTGCAGACAAAACAGTGCTTTTTAAAATCTCCTCAGGACACAGGAACCACAAACAAGGCATATTTTGGTAGAATTATTCTACTGTGACTCTACAAAAAACTGTTCCTTTCTCTCCATTTCGTTTTGATTTTCATTTGCTATGTTGGTTTTGGGCAATATTTTTCAGACAATGCAATCTCAAACTGGATTAAGACAATTCATCTCAAAAAAAGAAAAAAAACTATTACCAATGCAAAAAAATTCTTGGGAATACCCTGTTCTGGCCAGATTTCCCTCTGCTCCCTATCTGTTCAACACTTGATTGATACTCCAGTATCAATAAAGTGGGTCCCAATCTATATTCTTTATCACTTTTCTTCCTGTGCTCCAACATGAAGATAGTTTGCAGAATTCAGCATAAACTGTAAGAGATCTACAGAAACCTAAGCTTATTCTTGTCTGGCTTGTGACATGCCACAGAAGACCTAGTGGCTTCAGAAAACTGAATACCTCTGAAAAGTATCACAAGGGGTTTTGTCATTGTCAATGATTCCAATAACCACCCACTATTGAAGCAAATAAGTATCATAACCTTCTTCTGAAGAATCCCATATGCAAGCAATGAATTGTTTAACTTGATAAACAATAATATGCTCTCAGAAAATTCCTACGAGGACTTAGATAGTCTAAAACATCCCAGTAAAGGCATAAGGAAAACAGTAAATATGAACAGAGTGTGCAGAGAGCTTGATTAATCCCCATTACAAATTAACGGATCAAGAGGCAAATGAGTGCATATATTTGGTGATGCATAATAATTACTTCAGGTGAAACAAGCTGTAGAAGTCTTTAGCAACATACCACGAACAGAAAATATGCATTAGTGACTAAACTAAGTTCTATACCTGCATGATGAACACTAATCAGCAGGCGTGTAACTTAGAGGCCCAGCAGGTGCAGGGAAAGCTGGAAAAGCACTCAAGTTCCTTTTCATCATGAGACCATTCTAAAAATATGTATCAGTATTGGCAGGCAGGAGAAGGAACTACAAAATGGTATAGGCACTGGGTGACAAGGAGGCCTCCAAGAGGGAGGAAAAAACCCAGGCAAATTGAGTTGAAAAACAACTGTATCAGGATGATAAAATTGCCCATTAAATTACTGAAATTCTGACTCAAAGGACAAGAAAAACTGAGAAATTAATTCCCTTGTAAGGAAAAAACTAATTTTTGATATGCTGTGAAAGGAAAGGTGATCCTTCTACACAAATCTTGGCACGGTCCAGATCACCAGCAATGTTCTGACTGCCTGCTCTTGCAAACTTCCCCACAGGCATTTGGGGAAGAGGCATATTCATGCCTCTCTCCCAGACCCCATCTTGATAAAATGGGAATATTAAGACTTGTTTTTTTCTCATATGTTTGCAAGGATAAATGCTCTAAGATTAAGGCATGCAGATACTGTTTATTTCATGAGTTTTATCTTACACTGTTTTGACAAACAACTATAAGCTGCAGAATTATAGCAAATGACTATCTGCCATCATTAAAATAGAAACAGATTAATTTTTCACATTTTAGCTGTCACATAGAAGTTTGTCATGTAACACTTCTTAATTTAATTATACAATGTGCTATACATATCTTGAGTTCTGAAACAAGCACAAGATACTGGACAAAGTACTGAATTTCTCTGCCTACTCAAAAAAGGTGACTTCAGCATGACCTCAATCACCAGTCAAAACTGAAATTTAAGCTTGTGATGAGGTAGAAAAACAGCAATATGAAAACACTCCAACACCACTACTGAGGATCTGACCAGCTTACTCTCTGAGACTCTGGCACCCTGGCCTGATAATTTGGTGTAACAAATGCTATCTACAAAACCATTTTTCAATTTCATTTCAGTCATTTAGAATTTTCACTTTGATTTCAGGAGCAACAAACGTTGTTGCTCATTACTAAACCTCTTGAGAACACCTAATTTCCTCTCCTCTTGTTTTGGCTATGCAGCTCTCAAGTTTTATTCCACCGGTTTCCAGTGCAGATTATATATTTACCTAAGTGTTGTTCAAAATTTAGACTGGTTAAAATAAAAGTTATTCCCCAAGATGTCAATGGGAACATGACCACATTCAGATACAACAGCACAGGCCATCTTTAATTTGTTATAAATGAAGAGAAGACAAAGATTTATTCCACCTGACTTCTCTACTGAAGGAATGCACAGGGAAATATTGCAAATATTAGCAATAGTTTACACTGTGTATAAAACCAGATACAAAATCTGCTACAAGACATAGCAAAGTAATAACCTTACCACTCAATACTGGAGGTGACACCTAAACTGAAGGAGATAATTTTAGGATTATATGGTTCAGTTAAATAGTTATTTATTGAGATACAATATATCATTTAAGAAAATCCTCTATCTGAAGACATGAAACACTTCCAGGACTGAAAAAAACAGAAACCCAGATTTCTCCCTTACCCTTATATTACAAACAGCACAAAAAAAGCATTCATATTCATTGGTGAGGGTAAGAGATTGTTGTCATGCTCAAATATGTGCTCTGCTATGTGAATCAAATGCAATTTTAGGGTGGGAAAGGCAGGAGGAGGAAGAGATCATGGTGATGAGAAGCACAGTGCAGAATCAGAGGTGTAGCTGGAATGTAGCTGGAAGTCAGTCTTGTATTGATAAATTGATAAATCAGACTTGAACCAGCACCAAACAGAAGATGTTCCTACCTGCTAGGGAGCCGGGCCCTCTGAGGCAACAGCTGTTCTGTGGGTCCAGAGAGGTTCATCTCCCCATCCTGAAAGGATGCCTGGGAAGCACCCTGTTGAGAGATTTCAAAGCACACATTGAAACAATGCAGATAATTATGCATAGAGAACAATGCTGTGTTTGTGGTTTTAAGCCTGTATTTGGAAGAGAAAGTCAGTCATAAAATAACATCATCTCACCGACAGTGAGGACTGCAATCCCTTTCTGGATGGAGCACCTGTGACACAGCACTTGGAGAAATAGGAGGTTTGAAGTCCTTCTCCTTGTGCCAGGCCCACCATCCATCCATTGGAGAAGCTTAACATTGTACTACCTAATGTTAAAAAACTGTACTGCTTTACTTCTCTGCCTATCTAACCTGAATGCCATTCTCTCCCACTCTGAGCCGCCTCCTCTCTCCCAAGAGATCACACAGACTTTGAGTAAACCCAACAGCTTTTTTTTAATGCTCTATCCCTTGGCAGTGTTTATCTGGCAAAGACATATTTTCAGAGTAGCTTCCCAGAAAAAGAAATTATGCAGCCATTTGTACAATCAGACACAAAAATACAGTGTACACAGAGTCCAGACACCAATGCTAAAGTGCTTGAAAATTATTATTTAACTTTCTTTTTGTGATCCTTGCACTCAATGTTTGCATTTTTTTCATACTGGGAGAAGGAAACAGTTACCAATGAGATAAGACTACTGTCAGCAGGTGATGTATTAGCTTTAACATACTGTACTTCATCCCAACCCTTATAGCAATAATGTAAACAGAGCAAAATCTGTAAGACCTTTTTTGGAGAGGTCACTTCTGTCAACTCTGCAACAGGAATAGACCTGGAAGACATAAATCTTCAGCTGTCAACACACTAAGAGAATTCAATACAAAGCCTGATCTTAACTAGATAAAGGCTAAAGTTAATAATTTTTTTTGTTGTTGTTGCAGTGGTACAGTTTTCCAGTGTATACACTTGCCATATTAAGTTGTCTCAAGGCAAAAGGTAGCAATGCTATAAATTAATTTCAAAGAACAAAGCCAACTAGATAGGTAATTTAATTTTCTAAAAAAAATCTACAGTGGTTATTAGAAGTTCTAGCTTCTCTCAAAAGATGGTTCTATTCAAAAGACCAGCTTTAAAGGTTTGGTGTTTCCAGTCCCTCAAAGATTTGTAGAACTTATTTTTAGTTTATAAATATCGAGAGAGTTGAGGGAACGTGTGGGTTGACTTGCACTTCAAAATCATGAGCAGCTTTGCAAGCAAACTCTTGAGATATAAACCAAGCTGGATCCCTATTGGCTCACATGCTGCTTGTGAACCTATAATACCAGTAGTGATGCTCTTTGTGTGTTAATTAGAGCAGAAGCCAACGGACTTGGCTTCATCTGCAAGACCAATACAGTTCACTAAAAGTGAACTTCTGTCACTAATGAAGAACCACTTTTAAAAGCTGTGTATTGAGTATGTGCCATTTCTTCCAATAACTTTTCATGGTGGAACCACATGTCAAGGAACGATTCTTGTTATGTGAAGTATATCCCATACTAATCTCGTAAATCAAGAGTTCGACTTCAAGCAGTGCATTACCAACAGAAAACAGACACACATCCTTCCTATGTTAAAACTTTATCTTGACAAATGCTTTAAAAAAAGTGTTTAGGTAGCAGCAGATGCTGGAAAGCAGGCAAACTGTTTAACAATAATACTCCCAACACTGGTGCTACAAAGGCTCCTCTTTATGGAAAGTTAAATATAGTCACACTGTGAGCAGATTCAGGGTTGTGATTAACTAGACCTTTTTCTCCCAGACACTGGCTGCAACACAGTACATGACAGAGAACATGCTACTCATGCCTCAGAACTGTTTTGCCTCCCTTGCAGCCTACAAAAGCTACGCTATTTCTCTCTTTCTGGGCTTCTGGTTACTGTTGTTTCTGCTGTGGTGAGATTACATCCATGTGTGTCCTCTGTCTCCTATTTCTTGGGAAATAGATTTCCCAGCAATGATAAATACTGATGACCACAACCTCATATCTTGTTTCTGTTGACTGATTCACGTATTTCTTGAAAAGAAAGACAAAATTTTTGGTCAACAAGTATAATCTCATACTTCAATTTGCTTTGTGGCACAGCACAACATTGCTAAGAGCACAGTTACACTCCAAGATAAGTAAGAGGTCCTTACAGAAGAAAGATGGCAACAAACAGCTTTCTCTTCTGCTAAAGGCCAGACCAGCAGAAAGTATCTTGAAGCTGGATAAGAGGATTGTTACAGATACTACAGGTGTCAGACCTTTGGAAGATGTTCTCAAATACAGATTTATAAACATGTTTCATATGTTTCAAGGCATGATCATTCCTGTGCCAGAAAATAATGGGGTAACTGTGTGAGGCACCTGACAGTCATACATGCCCACATTCTAATCTTTCCACAAGTTAAAACTTCTGTGAGGAATTACAGAATGAAGTCTGGAGTCCATAACACTTACAGCTTGTTTTTTCTGTTTCTTTTGTTTATGGTTTGTTTTTGTTTTTTTACATTGGCGTGTTTGTTTGTTTATTGTGGTGTGAGGTTTTTGTTTGTTTAAATTTAAGGGAAAGCTTCTAAAGAAAAGTTATCCTCTCCTGACTGCAGAGAAGTGTGCTGAAGGATTTCAGAAAAAGTTCAGTGTCAGAGTCCCCATCCTGTACACTACTGACTGTTTAGATTTGCAGGAATATAGTGCTCCCACATATCACAGATTATCACATGCTCAAGTCAATAAACACAAAGCCAGATATATTTAAAGGCTTAACTGATCAAGGAAACATGAATCATAACACTGACATTATAAGTGAGCTCTCTGAGAATGACATTAGAGCTCAAGTCACGTACCAATCACTATAAATGGACAAATTCCTTTCATACTTGAGCATGACATTAGAAGCACAGTAAATTTAAACAGATCATCTCCTGACAAACAAGCACAATAATAGCAAACCAAAAATCCAAATTAAAGACACTGTCAAAAGACAGTGATCCAATACACACAAAAAATGCTCAATCTCTTGTTCAATTTTTAAAGACTGATTGTCAGTTTCTCAATGGTAGCAGAATTAAGGACACTGGCTAACAAACCTTGACTCAGATTCAGCTGACACTGTAACAGATTTACAGTGACAGAATTGCAGTTTTCATTTAGGACATAGGAATAAAATGCAAAATGGTGTGGTAAAAACAAAAGCCAAGGAAGCATATGCATCTAAGAACAGTGGAAGCTTTTAAATTTATTTACATAGGGATAATTTGAATTAAGCAATTCTTCTTAGTGCTACTAAAAGCATGCTCTTCAAATTAAGGGTAAGCAGAAGAGAGTGATTCTATTAAATAATAGCTCTCTGCAAACAACTGCAACCCAAATGCTAGGAAGAGTCTTGCATTCATTATGTGACAGCTCTCAAGTTAGGTAAAAATGTACATGAGGCAGTAGAACGAGTGACAGAGCACATACCAGTAGTGACATTTTCTACTTTGTGAACATCCACTCATCTCAATTCAACAGTCAGCATGGGCATATGTTAGCCCCAGTAATAAATATGATGCAGTCAGTCATGGTCTTTTTGAGCTTAGGGAGTATGACCAAGTCTATAGTTTTTTCTGTAATTTTTGAAAAGGCTTATTTCATAAAACCCACAAAATATCAGAGGGGAGAAGCAATAGCGCCACTTTTAAACAGAGACATGAAAGGATCCATTTTTGACTAGAAAAAGAGACACAGAGAGACAGAATTGACTGAAAATGGTAAAACCAATCATTTGTATTACAAAGAAAGGATGCAGCCCTGAGCAGCTAGAGTGTAGTTTTGAATTCCATTTTAGTTGAAAACAAACTTTTTTTTGAGGTTCTTCTGCAGCTGAAGTTTGCACATTCAAGAAAGAGCAGACTGTAACACCTAGCTCAGCAAGAAAACTTTAGCAATATTCACATGCAACCAGTGGCTATAGAAGGGCCCTAAATCACTTCAAGTCTCTCTGGTAGGCTTAGAACACAATTCATTCTCAAGATAAGTAAGTTTTTGGGTAGCATAAAATTGCTAATACATCATTTTTAGGAAAGCTATGTAGCAAAAACCATCCTATCTTCTTTGAAAAAAACATTATACAATAACTGACATTAGAAAAATCATCTCAAAATAGATACATTTAGAGAAAAAGGACTCTAAATAAAGAACTGGAGAAAATACTGAGTTCAGGATACACTTGGAGTATAAAACGGTCATCAAACACTAGCAATAAACTTGAAGGAAATAAGTAAGATCTATTAATAGAAGAAATACACGTATCTGCTCAAATTAGGACTCAAACAGTCTGCATACCCAAGGGAAAGTATCTTTATCTGAGACTTTCTTCTAATGACAAAGTTAAAAGTGAAAATATATGTCTGAAGTTCCAATTTCCAGTACTGTATTCCCGGAGGGCCTCCCTAAAACAAAGGAAAAGTATCCAAATCAAAGAGCAGGTCGTGGAGCAGGGTGGCAAGCTGCAGAGTTCCCTCTCCCTACTTGGCCAACAGCAAACCTTCTTCCAAGAAGGTTCAGTAAGAGTTCAGATCCCACCAACATAAACAGTGAGATGCAAGGAAACCTGGGGGTGAACGGGATGCTTAGTTTACAAATGCAGGAAATGTCTCATCTATTGCTCTCACAACAGACAATTTTAATTACCGTATTTAAAAATTGAACATTTTTAGCAACACTTCCAGGATCATGTGAGCATTTCTGACAGCCAGAATGAGTTTAAAAAGCCATACCACTATATTTAGCTTTAAAAATCAACACTTTCATAAATATTCCCAAACCAATTAGCCTGTGTTATAAAGTTGTTTACCTTTACCTAGAACAACAAATGCAATACTTGACATTGCATACAGAAGACCACATAACTTATGGAAAGGCCCCATGTTGTTCACTAATAATATGTAAAATAAAAGCACACGTTAAAATATGATAACCCTATTTCAACCAAAACTATAGATATCTTGCTGTAACGTCCAGCAATAACATTCTATGCTGTTTTCAAGTTTTGGCTA